CAAGAAGAGCAATTAGTGTTGAGCAATGAATTTGCAAACAACCACGAAGCCAGTTACGTTTCTTAATGTCTTTGTCTGTCTTGTCTCGTCTAAAACTATTCTCCAATATGATACAACTCATAAAAACAAACTTTGAAATGGTTTACTCATCCACCACTATAGGGGTTTCAAATTAAACATCATCTAAGCAGAATCCTGAGGCTTCACGGTTGCTGTAGAAATTGTGAGTGCAGCCTCCTAACTTGCAGTGGCAGTATTTTCGTAACTGTGCCAACAGACTTCAGAGGGCTTCCTGTAGTAAGCAGAAACAAGGCAGCGAAACATTCCCCGACTGGTCCGTCTCTACCGGCTGAAATGAGAGTGCCCCCAGGCATTCTGGTTGATGGGAAAAGGATCAGGGCTAATGGCTGGCTAAAGCCATCTATCATGGTCACGTCTCTCCGGGGCCACTTGCTCTTTGTCTGTCCTCTTCCTCTCCTGGTTTGCGTGTTTAGGCTGGAATTAACCCATAACTAGGCTGGTTAAAACATGACAAATGTTAGTGTACCAGCCAGTATCTTCTGCTGTGTTAGCATCTATCAATGTGCTAAGGAGCTATGAAGGGGATTGGTTGATTCGGGGGAAAAGCAGCTCTGCTCAGCTGTGGGCCCTTTTCCTTTTCACCCTGCCCTCCCAACAATAGGTGCAGTCAGGGAGAGGTCATAAAAAACACAGTGAAAGCATCTCCACTCCTCCTCTCTCCCCTCTGCCCATTCTCCCGTCAGAGAGAAGACAGGCAGTAACTGTCTGTGTGTCACCGGGGGTAATTGTGGGAAGCCTGAGAAAAGCTGCCCTGCAACACCTCGTCGAGCTTTAGCGACTTCTCCTCTTAGATTCTACTTATGACAGAAGAATTACAAAAATGAGAATGAAATTGAAGTGTAACTTCTCCCGTGGTGAGCTTGTTATGACCCGAAAATCAGGTCTGTTCCCACAGAAGTACGATTGTTAAAACTAATTTATAGATCAACGGTTATGTCGAGTGTTTTCATACCCAACGGTGCAGCAGCGGGAAGACATGGAAGATGCATGGAAATAAGATAGCACTGGTATTGAACTGGTAGTCCGTGTCTCTGAATTGGGTTTGAGGACTGATAGTTTGATAGTTGCATCCCTAATTTCTATCTTTGCAATGCATATTTTTTAATTTCAATAAAGGACCAAAATCATGGCTGTGTGAAAACAATGAAACCACCACACCAACCAAAATATCATTCATTCCAGTCTGGGTCATTTTCAGCAGCCAATTCAAATTACAACTGTTGCTTAAAAGCGATTTGACAACTAATGCGACGGGTTAAGAAGACTGATTCATCCCAACAACCCTCCTATATATATTTGAAATTAAACCTTAACTTTGTGCAGTGTACTACACACATAGAGATGGAAACAGGTGCAGTTGTCATCTACAGAGGCCGAACAACTTTCCCTGGTTGCTGTAACAAATAGCTCATAGTATCCTGTACGTGTTTCAGTGTTCTGACATAAAAGGAAATCCTTTTTGTGATTCTAGGACTTTTGGACTACAGATCTACAGACTGATGTGTGAGTGAATAAAGACAAAGAGGAGGAGCAGGAGGGAGGGGAACACAGAGGCAGCGCGGTGATGAAGTCTAACAATAGCTTCAGATTGATGGGAGAATGCTGTTGCACACGCTCCAAACTGAGCTCAATCAGTTTCAGTTGCGTTCAAGCTCACATTCCTGGCATACTACCGCTCGCATCGAGATGCGAAGCTCCAAAGTTAACGTGGACTATGCATGCTGGCTCAGGGCCAGGTTTCGGTGGGATTTTTTTGCTCTATGAAAACTTCCACTCCTAGCTTGAGGGAGAGTTTGACTCAAAATTGTGAGATGGGCAAGGAAGGATCAAGACTAGATGAACAATAAATGTCTCCTACTAACCTCATAACGTATGTATACACACACACACCATAGGACTCTGCTGACATGTGGTATTTAAGGGCATATTTCTTCAGTACAATGGAAGAATATTGCAAGTGTAGTGTATTTTTCTGAGCTTTAAATTGTGCAATCAGAACTCTGAGCATGCACAGTGACATCTGCCTGACATGGAGCCACATGAATTACAGTGCTAGGCTAGTTATTTCAGAACTAGTCATATTGCCCACACTTATTTTAATGAACACAATAATACAACAGTATTAGTAAACAGTAGTTTATAGATGATAATGGAAGGCTACAGCTATACAGACAATACTTAGAGAGAGAGAGAGAGAGACAGAGACAGACAGAGAGAGAAAGAGAGACAGAGAGCAGAAAGAGAAAGAAACAAGAGAGAGAAGGTAAGTAAGGAGAAAAATAACGAAGCAAGAAGGGAAACCCCCTCAGTTTGTGGCAATAAAAGAGTACCGCTGCTCTCTGGGAGATTAAATATGAAGTGAACAAAACAAAACGAGGGCTTTGAGACCCTCCGAGTCCTAGCCATTCTTCTGGCCACAGTAGCCTAGCAACCGCTGCTTGACCAGTCCATTGTGCAAACGTATGTTAAGCTTTTATCCCTCATTAGCAACATTCCTCCCTGCAGGCCGGGATTTTACAGATTAGGTTGAAAAACACAAAAGGAGATTGGACAAATCTTGCTGACTTCCAACATATTACTTTACAGGCTAATCATTGATCAAATAGCTGCATGTTTGTCTGTGTGCAGCATGTGTACACGGTGGTAAATGGAGGTCCGAGCAGTGGAGTGAAAGGTGGAAAAGTCTAGTTGTGTACCTGTCTGTGCCCTGGTTTAGGAGTGAACTAGCTCGAGCCACACCAACAGACATTCAGCTGATTAACTATTAAATACGTGACAGATTGTAACACGTATTTTTACCCCCCCCCGCGTGGATAATTCTCACTATTATCCTCGTATAGCCGACGCACACCCAACGCCAACACAAACAACCCTCCCCAGCAGATGCAACAATTTCTCTTTAGCTGCCATATTCTCTGGGTTTTTGCTGTGAAAACAACCCACCACACCACAGGGTGCCGTGTGTGTTTATGTGCAGGAGAGTCTTTTGTGAACTCACTGCAAAGCGAACACGTACAGCTTCCTTCATTCTCTCTTTATTTAGATAAGACAGTATATTGACCACAGATGTTCAGACTTCTGACCCCGGGACGAGCAACTGTACCTGCTTACTAGTAACAGCGCTGGTAGAGTTCCTTTCTTGGTCTTATTTTGGGGTTAACAGCGTAGCAGTGGGCTCTGGTTTCAGTGGAAATCATGAATGAATCCAGAAAAACTGACGTTCAACTAGCCTACAATCTTCAGGTAAAATGCTCCAACTATGCAATCAGCACACTATAGAATGGTCTCTCATAAGCTTAATTTAAAATGTTGCCTCTTTACTTAAAGCTTATCTCTATATATATATATATGTCACAGTGGAGTGGCAGGACAAACACACTGACTTGTGTTCGCAGCTCTGTGTCTGTTCGGGGGAGTTTGTTTGTGTATGTTCACCAAACATCCGATTAGCTTAAATAGTCGAGATGGCAGTTAAATCCTCTCTCTCCATCTGCCCTATAATTAACGCACATCTTTCATCTAAAATAAGGTCGGGCTCGTCTACACTGTCCGGGGGCACCATATGCACATTAACATCTCCAGACACAATGGCTGATTGTCCACATTCAGAATGAGAGTTTAATCTAAGATAGCGAATGCATTTTAGTGGTATGTGAACTCACTGTATTGGGTCTGGAAGGAGATTTACCTACCGTTTACTTTTACTATTTATTGTGAATATACTGCAAGTGAACAGTAAAATTAGTTAGGAGGGTTAGATGCGTTCAAAATGTGTCAAAATGAGATATGCAGGCATCGCACCAAAGTTTCACCCCACATGGCCCCGAGGATGATCAGTGTCTGATCACAAAGGAAGAAATAGTGTTTGGAGTCGTGTTACACACATAAACACACCTGAGTTGAAGTGGGTAGCCTCAGACTCTTCTTCTCATTGAGTCCTGTCCATTCATTATTCAGTCCTGGGAAACTAAAGTGAGCTGGCTGGTTGTCAATTACCCGTCCATGAAGGAACGAGCACAGCACCAGCTTCTAACTACAGGACCCTACTCAAGAGTCAGACCTGCTAATGCTGAATACTCATCTATTTTACAACACCTGCAGCCATTGTGAAACCTCTACAGTTCACTACTACATTCCCTGATGAATAAACAAACATTCCTTCACCACAAAAAACCCTGACGTGAATAGTTTCCTTCTTTTTTTACCCCGTGACCTCCGACATTAGCTCTGGTTGGTCAGGAACATGGCCTGACAGTGTGGACCGAGTGTGTCTGGTTATGTCTTTGGTAAATCACTGACTGTATTTGAACAACATTTCAGATGGGATTGGAGAGAGGGGGCTGGGAAAGTGTGTGTTTTAAAGGATGAAGAGGGTGAGTGGAGAGGGGTGGGGTGGGGGGGGGGGGGGCAGCCCAGCTGAGCAAACTCTTTATTTCACATCCTCTTGATGGTATCCCCCACCACTTCATACAGCCACAGACCATTTACACCTCTTTAAATCCACCCAGAGGAAAGGGCAGCATTGCAACAGGGGTATTGTGGAAATATGTGTGAATTGTCAGTTTTCAGCAACCTCAATTTAGGCTGTAATGACGAAACTATGTTTTCCTAATAACCTACAATGCCCCATGTCATTAAACAATTACTATATGTGCGACATGTGTATATGTCTGGAGCAGATAGATCTTAAGATAATTGCCAAAATGCTACAAAGTTACTCAAGCAAACCGGAAATGCTACCAACACTTAACTATAAATAACTAAAGGTGGATGGGCTGCATGTGCAACAGGTGGATGGTTCCCTCACGAGGACTTTCTCCTAAAGTTGGGTTATTTGGCTTAATGTATCTGTCTCAAACACACACACACACACACACACACACACACACACACACACACACACTTCAATCTTTGCTTACTGTTGCTAGACTTCAGGTCACGGTGGATAATGGGTACCACGGCCTCCTCGTGCAGATAGAGCATCCCGCGTGCAATCTGCACGGCCCAGTTGACCAGGATGTGTGGAGGGATGCGCCTTCCGGTCAACGCCCGGTTCAGTGTCCCGCCTCGGGCGTACTCCATGACCAGGCACAGGTTGGGCTCCTCCAGACACACTCCCTCCAGTTTGATAATGTTTGGGTGCTGCAGCATGGAGAAAAGTTTCGCTTCTTGTTTAACACCGCCGGCGGTGGCTGTTATGTCCTCGTCCGGGTCTTGCCGAGCAGCCTTCACGGCTACCTCTTGATCTTTCCATGTGCCCCGATACACTTTGCCAAATCCACCCACGCCTATGATCTCCTCTAGCACCAGTTCACTGAAGGGAATCTGCGAAGGGGGGGTCGGGACGTGCTCTCGTGCCCCCGCAGACCCACTCGTGGCAGGGAGACGGTAAATAGCGGGCTGGTAGGTGACATAGTTCGAGGGGAAAATCCCGACCCGGTGGTTGATTTTACCCGTCCACCATCCCTCGTCCCCGGAGATCGTTGCGTCTTTGGACAGCACCTCCACCACGTCCCCTCGCCTGAGGCTGAGCTCATCCTCGCCACTGGCCTCGTAGTCATACGCGGCTGTCCACAGAGACCGAGTGGGGCACAACGGAGCAGAGTGAGCACACGGCCGAGCTGTGGGAGAGTCTGTCCGAGCTGTGGGAGAGTCTGTCCGAGCTGTGGGGGAGTCTGTCCAGACGCACGGCCGCCCTTCACCGTTTGGGAAAGCGGCCTGCGAGACATCCATTTCTCGGTGGCCGTAGCGGCACCATATAGGGTGCAGCAGAGCTTTTTTAGAACAAAATGAAGAACTTTAAAACTTGTTTGAAATCCTCATGCTGTCACGCCAACAGAGGGGCATTCCCTGCGCGCAGCCCCACGCGAAGGGACCAAAACCGTCCGTGTCCAAAGTCCCGTGGGAGCGCGAGAGAGCGTCCACGACCTGCAACGTTATCCAAGTCGCCACTCCGGTACAAGTGGATGAGGGTCAATTACTCGCTAGCGAGGTTTGCTGGCTACTGTTAGCCAAAAATACTTTTTTTAAAGCTAATGTCACCACTCTATGGGTTCACGGTTAAATAGCAACACGCAGTTTTTAAACTAACACTTCATATATATCTCAAAAAATTCTCTGCCACGAGAGAGAAACTGGTCCACAACATAGTCCTTCTGCTTTATGCTAATACGAGCAAGCTAAAGTTAGCTCTCCAACCAAGTTTCCCGCAGGTGCCGCAAAGAGATGCACCTGCACGGTCCACTCCGACGACCGGGTAAAGTGAGACTCCGAGGGACAGGTTTCTCTTACGAAGACACGCGTAACGCTCATCTAGTCACCAAATCCCGAGACGTTAGGTTTACTTTCACGCCTGTGGGACTTTTAACGTGGAATGTTCTACTGCATTGGCTAGCTGGTTAGCTTAGCATAGGTCAGCCTACTGACTAGTAAGGCAGAAAAGTTGCTTCTTTTTTTCCAGTTTGAGATCGGTCATTCCCAAGTGAGTTTCTCCTTCGTGGACGAGACGAAAAAGCCGACGGTTGAACACTCAGAAAGCACGTCAAACATCCTGGAGTTCCAACGTAAGAATGCGGGAGTAAAAAAAACTATTACAAAATCGGTCAACTTTAATCAAAACAACACCCCCATCGCCGCTCTCTCCAGTCGAAGTCGGACCCAGCAGTGAGCTGTGAGAAGGACCTGCGGGACGCTGCCGCTGCTCTCGCTGCTGGCTGTGGGGCCCTCCGATTGGTGGATTAGGTGACACGTGACCGTCGCAGCAGTAAGGGGGGGGGGAGGAGGAGGAGGGAGGAGCTACTATAGGAATGTGTGAGCAGTGCGCGCCTTCAGGGAAATTATGGGAATAGTAGAGCATACACAAAGACACACACACAACACACACCGCTCTCTAAACACCAGCCATGTGAACATAAAAGTAATGTTAAAGTGAAAACACAACTACTTGGCATACTGCTGCTATTTCGATCAAGTATTTAGACACACAAGGAATTTGACTCCGGTGTCAAGTGGCTCTCAGTGGAGGCCTATTTACACAAGAAGACACATACATGCTGCTAGACAAAGACACAAATCCATACAGATATCACCGTAAACATAGGACTATAATAATAATACATATAATAATCATAATAATAATAACAATAGTCATAATAATAACAATAATAACAATAGTCATAATAATAATAATAATGCAAAAGCCGTTTTATAATCGGGTCTGCTCTTTATGAATTCGATTGTATATATGCATATTGCAACCTACATGAACATGTATTTCCTCGAAGCATCCAAAGCCTATAAATCCTGTATACGTGTGCATATAGGTTTGCGTATAGTCATCAACGCATACATATCATGCACAATGTGTGTTTGACTGCTTTTTCCCTGAAAACAGACTGGCCGTGGCTGCGTGTGTGTGCAGATAAACACTGAAGGTGCGAATCATATAATAGGAAAGGACGGAGAGGGAGGGAGGCGGAGAGGAGGAGGAGTGGGAAAAGTGAGGGGAGGCGGTCAGAGCTGCGCATCTGTGCAGGCAGCTATAGAGGAGAGGGGGAAGGAGAGAGACGAACAGGACAAGATGAGGACCGCGGCAGCAACAATGAGCGAATCGACATTGGGATGGGAAAATGCTGACGAGAGGACAGCACCGAGGAAGACAGAAGAATAAGGTATGAAAGAGAAGGCTCAGGAGACGTGCTGCAGCGCCCCAACATGGAGGCGTAGCGACAGTAGCATGCATTAGAGGAGATCATTTCATTGTAGCCTAGCAGCAGCAGCAGCATCCGTCCGTCCAACCTGAGCGGAGAGGAGGAGAGCGAAGGAGAGATGGGCTCCCAGGTTGTGCAGACCCTGCGTCAGGGAGTCTGGGCATCTGTGACCGGTGGCTGGTACCACGACCCGGACCAGAACAAATTCAACAACTCCTGCCACCTCTATCTGTGGATATTTCTCCTGATGTTACCCCTGTCTCTCCATCTGGTGAGTTTTTATGAGGGAACATGACGTCCAAGGCCGTGAAGGGGGTGTGAGGGGCTCACGGTACCATAGGTAGCGTTATTTATTTTTTTTTCATGCGCGCTTTTTATCCTTTCGTGGATAAACGTGCGGTGGCATGTGAGAAACTAACACCCCTCATTGTCTGATTGCTACTGAGGGAAATACTAGAGAGAACAACACTGTCGCAGTATTTTTTTCCCCCTGCATGCAGTGACGGAACGCATGGCTGCTCCTGGATGTGGCAGTGGGATAGACAGGGGGCGTGAAGCCGCGGTTCAATGATATTTTCATGTCATGGCCTTTGAAAATAGCTGCAACACAGGCTGCAATACACCCAGTCATAATAACCTGACTGAGGAACTTCCATCTGGGATATGTTACCGATGTTTACCTTGTAGGATATGTGGATATCAGTAGATTTGGAGTAAGAACAAAAATGACACAGGCATAGTCATACAGCAGGATATGGTGGCATGAATGAAGGAAAGAGTGGCTGCGACAGGTCAAACAGCTTGACCTGAGCTGTGATGAAGTATGATGTCAACAACAGACAACAACAAACAAACTGAAAGGGTGACCAATTAATGATCTGACGGCAGATCACTGGCAGTTTTTGTATGTGAATAAATAACTTTGATAACATTTGTATGGAGCAGAGGATTATCAGTAACCGGTTTTATCTAGATTAGATGATAGATGTTGCAGATTATGTGACGCGATTGCTGCCCACTCCGCTGCTCTCCCGTCTCAGAGCAATACACCGGGGCTAATTTGTAGGTACTGTGGGTTCAGAATGATAACCCCAAATTAGCCACTCATGAATCAGTGAGTTAGTGAGGCAAAGCAACATATTCTGATGTGAGAGTGACAGCTCCGACAACTAAGAGCTTTGACACCAAAGGCTGTTGCCGACAGTTTTAACAGTCTGTTTCAAAACACCCACAAGCTTTCTGGTGGAGACGTTCACCAGATAAATGATTGCGTATAATGACACTGGGCTATGCATCCGTGTTGGCAGACATCGATATGTGTCCATATCCAACACAGCAAGAATCTCTCCAGATCAGTACGACTCATGTATCAGCATGATGCACATGCTTTCTCTTTAATCTTCCTGTTCTTTATGGGCCATTCCTCCACCGGGGATCAATAATCTTCACCAATCCACCAGTTAATCAAATTGGATCTTGTGGTTCACTGAGCCTTTGATACACATGTGTGTGGCTGCAAATACGCTTTACCTTCAGCAGAGTTTCACCTACTTATAATAAGATGAGAAGACAAAGCACCGCGTGAAGCACTGAATCAAACACTGTTTTCGTGGAGTCAGGACTCTGGAGATGTCGTTTTGAATTTGATGAAGCTCCTCTCCTCTCCACAGGCCCTGCCCCCTACCACCATGGCTTTGAGCATCTACTGCACCTCCATCACAGTCTTCTTCATCCTCATCAAGCTGGCCAACTATCGGCTGCACCTGATGTTCGACGAGGGCGAGGCGGTGGTCCGCAGCAGCGTCTCTGATCTCAGCAAGGCTCCAGAGAAGAAAAGTAATGCGTCGGACTCCTGCCTGCCCGCCAGCGTCAGGTAAACCCACATACACACACTTATACTACAGCCATAGGGATTAATCTGAAGTAGCTGAAAAAATCCCAAAGTGGTCTCACCTGTATGGATGTATTGGAGGTCCTTCAGAGAGATATACAGCGTATGAACATTTAACAAAGGGGATTTTTTTAGCTCTTTGTCTCTTAAGCTGCTCTCGGTCAGGTTAGTCATTACAAATTCTAGGCCAGAGGGCTAAATCACTAATGATACAACTTAATTATTTATGTGAAATTGTACATTTGGGCCTGAGACCTCCTTTTAAAATAATGCCACTAAGTATAACTGAATGGCGCTCCGTTCTTTGAGATCAGATTGGTTTCGTGATCGAGTAGACTTTTTCCACTTCATTCCGATGACTGAGCTAGCTAATGAGGGGAGGTCAGCGATCTTCAGTAGACTAATAAAAGAAAACTCATCACTTCCTGTTCCCTGTAAGACTGTATTTCTTTTTCATTTCCGTGGCTGTGGAGAGATGAAACAGCAAGTCCAGACACACTTTTTACAGCTTCCTCATCCCTAAAAATGAGTGGATTTTAGTTTGAAACATCAGAGGCTGGGAATGAAAGTCAGATGATTTATTCTGAAAGAGACATGTTGATGTATCTCTGTCCATCGCCTCATTTAATTCCTCCCCCCCCGTCTCTTATCTTTTGTCTCATAGGAAGAGCAGCACGGTCCCAGACGGTGTTGCCATGACGATGTTGGCTCTGAAACGTACCAGTCCGGTGATCCAGGTGACGGTGAAACAGACTGAAACTGACCCGGGACTGATTGGGGTGGTGAGTGACCGCGAGATATGGATGTACGGTGCAGAACAACACTGTGTTGACCTACATTCTGTCCTTATGTTAATCAAATGTCCCTGAATTCTCCTTCACGCAGGACTGTTTGAAGTCAGAGGAGGAGAGGAAGACTGTGGAAGGTGAAGCTGATCTTTCTCTGGGTTCGACTGAGATACAGATGGGTAACCATTAAAGAAAAAAAATCTGAACGAATGAGTGGAGAAGCCTAAAACAAATGCAGATGCTTCCATACAAGCCACGAGGCAATCTGTGGCAGGGCCGAGATGCTGTGGCTTCTTAATGTGGCAGTACTCAGTATTTCTGCTAATTCATCAGTCAGGCTCAGGCCAGCTTCCTTTGGCTAAAACAAATCGGACTGCTGCATATTTCCAACAACTTATTGCTGGTTCGAAAACTCACTCCCTTCTTATTATTTACTCAAAATTGGTGTCATTGGTGCCACCGGGTCAGTCGTTTGGCTGAATGTTTGCAGAGGGTTCATTTACATATTGTTATGCAGCTTGCTTCATACAGATAATTCTGATTCAGCTGTTGCTGACTTCCTAGTGATTCTGTTGTATGCTAAAAATAATGCTAACAGTATGTCAAAGTGATATGTATACACCTATAGAATAAAGGCAGCATGAAGAAAGAAAGACATCTCTAGTTGTCGCTATCGAGGCCTTGCATGTCATTTAGGGGGAAACGGGTGTTTAGTGTATCGTCAGATCTGTGCTGGAAGCCAACTCTGTTCCTCTTCCCTAATGCACTCGATGGCTCCTTAGACAATGTAGATCGACAACTTCCTTTTCTGCAAACACATCATTGTTGTAAATGTGCTCAGACAAGCACAGAACTCGCAGCCAGCCAACAAGACCAGCTGACTGGTTCCAGTAAAAGTACGACTTAATGCACGGACAGAACAAAGTCAGCTTACTGAAAAAAGGGATATAAACACTGTGGTATATTGCATCCGACGTAACAAAATGTATTCGTTTTTAATAGCAGTAGGATTTCCCCCCCTTCTGCTTTTCATTGTATTGCAATGGGAAGATATTTATCTATCACTGACAAATACTGCTGTAGTGTGGGCTTTGTGTATTGTCACTGCAGCCAAATATGAATTTCCATGGCAGGGATTTTATGATTAGAGCAGTTTTATTAATATTACACTTAAAATCAAACATTTGGATTTGCATTTAATTTCATTCCAGGACAGGGTGAGAGTGCTGCAGACGAGAGGCCTGTGGAGGGAGGCCTGCACCCAAGCCCTTCTCCAGATGACCTCTCCAGCCCCAATCCAG